AATTAGCCATGCAAACAGGCTGAGTCAGCCTCACGGTCTGGGCCAAGATTTTCCAACAGACAGGGTAGGATTGAAAACCAATCTTTATTCCCAGTACTTGCGTAAACTGAGGTTCAAGTGGGATTAAATCACATCTGCCCTTGTCAGGAGACAGACTATTTTTAGGGAAAGCAAGACGAACTCTGACCTACAAATTTGAAAACGCCTGGATCAATCACCATCGGTATGATGAGAGGCGTATGGAGCACGCCATTGTTAACACGTGGGACGTGTCTTTGTTTAGGGGCCATTAAATTTAATAACTTCCCTCTTTATGGCTTTAAATAGGGACCCTCTTCAAAATAAGAGTGGCTCCGTGGAACTTAATCTCTTGCCTGTGGCTATGCGGAGGGGCGAGCTTACCAAACAGGTAGTGCTTACTGTAGGAGCAGGTATGCCGGGGAAATGTAGGATCTCCAGTGAGTTGTCTTAACCTTAACTTTCTGGTGTGTTAGTCTTAATTGCTGGGGCTTTCTTTTTAAACTTCCTGAAGGTGTTGCTCCCTCCTGGGTGTTGAGAGTTGTTCTCTAGAAATAAATGCTCACATGGATCTAGCACACCAGAGCTACCGACTCCAAAATCTGAACTCAGGAGATTTGACAGGGACCAGGTCATGAGGGACATTTCTTTTCTGAACGAGCTGTTTCAAACACCAGTGAGTTTTAAATGACATGGACGAATCCTCCTGACAGCTCTCGAGTGATCAAATAGGTCATCCCCCTGCCCCCAGCAGCTTCTGTATTTTCTGATAGTGATAAAATCATTTTCAGTGACTCTATTTATTAGGCTGATGTCACTCTGCTGACTTTCAATTTATTATATAATTTAACTTTTCTTAATAATTTATTGACTTTTTGTGAATATCCTAACTGATTTTAGCTTTATAAATATTCACTTAAAACTTTAATAACAAAAATGTACATACTCTAGAAATTCTATGTGCTATATACCACATGAAGTGAACTTCATGAACTGTATGATTTTTGAACTACATAGGAGGGTAAATTCATTTAAGTATTGAAATATTCCAAAACATGTTTTGTTTTTAAGTATGTTCTGTAATACATTTAAAAATACCAAAAGTGGGTATCCATTTTGTTAAACAAATAATCTTTTAAAATTTCACTTTCCTATTTATTTTATTAATTTAAGCCAAGCTTTGCCTGCAAACCACATACAGATATACAATTTTTAAAACAATTTTAGTTTCAACATATCAGCTATAATATGTTGCATACTGTATGTCAGGTCTGTCCTAAATAGTTTACATTCTCCCAGTAATCCTAAAGGATCATTATTATATCCCAATTGATAAAGTTTTATAAACCTAACTTTTAGACAGTTAAGGAACTTTTGCCTGATGTTTACATGAGGTGCAAATCTGGGTCAGAACCTACTATTTCTCACCCAACACAGTCTGCAGTGTTTTGTTTATCCCTTAGGCCAGAGAGATGTGACCTGAAAGCATCTCAAAAATGACCTTTTGGGGATGGTGATAGAGATTAGCATTTTTTGTTTGTTTGTTTTTCGAGACAGGGTTTCTTTGTGGCTTTGGAGCCTGTCCTGGAACTAGCTCTGTAGACCAGGCTGGTCTCGAACTCACAGAGATCCGCCTGCCTCTGCCTCCCGAGTGCAGAGATTAGCATTTGAACTGCCCATGTTACAGCCTAATAGTGGGTGGACAAGAGGGCTGGGTATGATAGACTAGAGGACTAGGTATGATAGACTAGAGGACTGGGTATGACAGACTAGAGGACTAGGTATGATAGACTAGAGGGCTGGGTATGATAGACTAGAGGACTGGGTATGATAGACTAGAGGACTAGGTATGATAGACTAGAGGACTAGGTATGACAGACTAGAGGACTAGGTATGATAGACTAGAGGACTAGGTATGACAGACTAGAGGACTAGGTATGATAGACTAGAGGACTAGGTATGATAGACTAGAAGACTAGGTATGATAGACTAGAGGACTGGGTATGATAGACTAGAGGACTAGGTATGACAGACTAGAGGACTAGGTATGACAGACTAGAGGACTGGGTATGATAGACTAGAGGACTAGGTATGACAGACTAGAGGGCTGGGTTTGATAGACTAGAGGACTAGGTATGATAGACTAGAGGACTAGGTATGACAGACTAGAGGACTAGTTATGACAGACTAGAGGGCTGGGTATGATAGACTAGAGGACTAGGTATGACAGACTAGAGGACTAGGTATGATAGACTAGAGGACTAGGTATGACAGACTAGAGGGTTGGGTATGATAGACTAGAGAGCTGGCCAGGGTAGACAGACCAGAGAGCTGTCTACATCCACAGTACATATAGATTCCATCCAAAGAGTTTTATTTTCTAAAGAAAAAACAAAACCTTCAAGTCTCGCTTGGAGGAAGGTCAGTCTTGTATATCTTGAGAATGGTTTTATATATTGAAGAGAATAATAATAAAGTAGAAATTGTGCAATTTGGCCCCTGGAACCCTAAAAAACAATCATCTCCCTAACATAATCCCCAGGATGGGTCCCAGGTTGTGGAACAGGCACCCACTCCTGGCCCATCAGGTAATGCCGGGGTGCATGGCCCCGCAGGCAAGAGCCAGGTCAGGAGTTGCAGGGTTCCTCCTGCTCCTGACAGTCCCCAGCTGTCTGTTCCTTCCTGTTTCTGTACAGGCTGACAGGAGGGATTTTCTGTTCTCTTTACTGTTTATACAGAACCTCCCACCTTGGCTCCATGCTATTCCTTTACCAGTCACAACTCACAGAGATGCTCAGAGAGGAGGAAAAAACTGGACGAAGCTTAATTTTAAACCGGTATAAAGCAGGGTCTCATTTCTGCCTTTGGCTCAAGATCAATACCCAGCTGCCTAGCCAGTCGGTTTCTGTTCCCACCACCTCTTCTGTAGAATGGAAAGAACTAGAATGTCATTTCATGGAAATGCTTGAAGCGACAAGATCAAAACAACCTTGTTCCACATCACATGTGTGAACGGTGAACACTAAGGAGTAGCCCATCGGGTAGTCATCTGCTCAACATTGTTTACAGCAGTTTCCATGGTGAATTCAGGTGTGAACACACTTTGGCAAGAAAATTGTGTAGGCTTGTGTCCCTACAGCTACAATTGTCCTCCGGAACCCTTTCTTTCTTCTTTCTTTTTCTTTCTTTCTTTCTTTCTTTCTTTTAAAGAAAATTGTTTACTTTTATTTTCTCTGTGTGTGTGATTGAGTGTATGTATGTGTACCATGTGTGTGCCCCACACCCATGGAGCTCAGAAGATCCCCATAACTAGAGTCATAGGTGGTTTTGATCTGCCCAATGTGAATGTCGGGAAACGAACCTGTGCCCTTTGCTAGAGCAGCAAGTGCTCTTAATGGCTGAGCGATCTCTCCATCACCACTGGGGCTTTTGAAAGAAACAAAAACCTGCTTTAGCTACAAAGATAGGTCAGATAGAAGCCCGAAGGGACCCTAAACACAAGCAAGCCTGCAAGTCTTTGCTAAGAGTCCTGCTTGCTCTATGCAAATTCATTTCTTCCTACGGAATACAGAAGAAACAATCAAAACTAACTCAACTCCATCAAACACTGTGGCCTCAGCACCACGCTAACTCTCTGCCCCTCTGTGTGTCTTCCTTTTCCTCTCCCGTGTCCATGATTGATGTGCTGACTAAAGGAGACCTCATTCGAGAGATGAAAACTATACGTCTAGACTTGGCCCAGCTCCCAAGAGATGTCATGTGATTCATAGGCAGGGACAGCAGTGGTCAATAAAATGAGGTAACATGGTTATCCAGAGAACCTTCCAGCTCTCCCCCCACCCCTCTCCCATCCCTACTCACCCCCGGGAGTCCATCTGCAGCAGAAAATGTGAAGGCACTAGGACCAGAGAGCCCTTTCCTGCTACTCGCTTGAGAAACAAAGCCTTCCCTCCTCCCAAGTTGAAAGAAATAAAGGAGAGTGGACTAACGGAAGCCTGCTGGCGGAGCTTCAGCTTGTCAGTGACGGGACTCAGCGCAGAGAGTAACGGCTCCGAGCTTTGCAGAAAATTGATAGAGGGAGAGAAACGGAAACAGAGACAAAGAGAGAAAGAAAGGCATTAACCTGGCCAGGAGTCAAACAGGTGCTCAGGGGCAAACGCTGACACAAGACGGCATGAGATACAGTGGCTGTGTGCCCTGCGAAGTCATATCTGAGTATTAATATGAGCGGGGTGGACGTCAGGGCGAGTGGAGAGATTTCCCCCCCTTATTTATGGGACTCATGTGTTTGGGTGAGGGCCTTTAGCTTCTTGTTACATGTCTGCCTGGAGGCTTACGTGAAACTCTCTGACTCCCTCTGCTAGACTCTGTAGGATGGAGAAGAAGGTGGCCAGGTCACTTCAGACAGACCCTTCCACTATGATCACAGCTGTGGGTGTCTTTGGAGTGGTGGATCTGTGAGAACCAGGGCTGCCACCCAGAGTGACAGTGTACCTTAGCCTGGAGCTACCGCTTGCTGCCTTCCAAGCTCCTCCGGGTCTCACTGTGCTGTGAATGACTAGGTCTCCTCAGCGTCCTAATCTTGGAAAGGGTTACTGTGGAGCCCAGGCAAGAGAAACAGGGTGGTGCCAACAGTCTGTACTTTGACTTAAAAGTGGAGGAAGGCCTGGGGCGTGACCTTTGGGAGAAAGCTCTAGGTGTAAGACCACCCCTCAACTGGGAAAGGATTCAGCAGGCCACTAACTGAGTATCATTAAAGGTCATCTTAAGAAAAGCATGCCATGTCTGATGGATTTTCATCTCTTGAGTTAAAAATGTTCAAGTGTTTGATAGTCCCATCAATTCAGAAGACCAGGTGCCTAATGTTAAGTGCCTCCTAACACAGTGACTGTGAGCATAGATAAGCCAGGCTGGTTCCATTCCCACCCCCAGCCCCCTGGCCCTGTGCAGGAGTGGGCTTCTCATTAAAGTTCGGTCTTTACCTGAAATGCGCCTGGGCACATCGGTGATGGCGGGTAGCCCAGTGCCCCGGGTGGAAGACAAAGGCGTGGTGGAGTGGATGGATGGTGACGTCATCTGGCTCAAGTACGAGGGGTAAGACTGGTCATAGGACCACGGTGGGGAAGATTGTGCCTGCCTAGGATCTGGAAGAAGAAAAAAAGATAAAAAAAAAAAAAAGCAGTTCAGTATTCCAGCTACTGCAACCATAGAAACATGCAGCCCAGAACTTAGAGCACAGAAACAGAGGAACAAGATGACAAAATAAATAATAATAATAAATATCTCCCACGGCCTCTTCCCTTTTAGGCCTTAACTAGCCCAGAGCTCTCTAGACTTGATGTCTCAATGAACGCGACAAAATGAGTGCGCATAAGGTCCATCTGTCTCTCTTGTGCATAAATATTTCTATTTGGAAAGTCCAGTGGCCATTTAGAAAACAATCCATTTTGCTTATTTTACAAAGTGGAATTTATTTTATTTATTCTCCGTATTTTCTAAAGCTCCTTTCCTGAGCACACTTTTTGAACTGTATTTTTTTCTATCAGTTAACTTGTATAACTTTGCAGGAAGATGCAGACTTCTCCTTTAACTGTTGTTTTCCTGGGTCCATGCTTCAGCGGGCTCTTAGATCTAAATGTGTGTAACTCTGCACTTCCCTTACAGTGGGCTTTCTTTCGGGGAGAGTCACTGGATGCCGTCTCCTAATGGAGTCGGGGAGACAAGGATGGAGGTGGGCGTGAGAATGGAAGAGGTAGAAAGGAAGAAAGCAGGATACACTATCTCACAATAAAGCTAAAACGGAAAATAACCTTTGAGAAAAGACAAGTCAATTTTAAAACCGACTGGGATTGACTATAGAAAAGCTTCACGGCCGTTCAGGCTGGATGTTAAACACGTAAGTTCCTGGTGGCAGGAAGATGGCCCCAACCAGGAGAACAGGAAAATGTTTTAACCCCACTGAGATCTGTTTTAAAAGTGTCAAGTGTTTGGACTGTAGCTTTGTGCTCCCCATAGCCGCTGATAATAAAAATAATGGGCAGAAAGCTGCTCACAGTTAATCGGCAAGAGCTGAGACGCCTTTGATCCATCTCCGTGGGGTTTAATAACAGGCCATCCATTTGGACAAGGAAAGAGAAGGCAATTGTCTTTCTTTGTTTTCCCTTTGAGACTGCACCACCTGGTTTTCCCAAGGGGTCACCCATTCAAGTACTGCTTGGCCTCCTGGATCAGATGAGGCCGGGTGTATTCGGAGTAGTTCAGGCAGAATCATAAACAAATTTAAATTTAAATGCTAACTTAAACTTTTATGTTAATTTTTTTAAAAAAATTAATAGAATTGGGTCTTACCAGATATAATCTGAATATAGATGGGCTTTGGAATGCTTACAACTAGGTCAGAATTACCTCTGAGACTTCCACTCTCTGCATGGCTTTGGCCACACAAAGCCTTGGCTTCCTCTCATGATAACCCGATCACAGGAACATGAGAGTAAATGAAAAACTATCAAGAGAACAGCACAACAGCAGACTTTCCGTACAGGGCCATGCGCTTTTTAAGATTAATCTGCAAGTACATATGTCTTTGTGTGTGTGTGTGTGTGTGTGTGTGTGTGTGTGTGTGTGTGTGTCCAAATGAGTACAGGTGCCTGCAGGGGCCGAAAGAGGGCATCAGATCTAGGGCATCCCCTAGAGCTGGATTTCCAGGCAGCTGGGAGTTATCCAATGTGGGTGCTGGGAACTGAACTCCTGAACCCTGAAAGTGCAGCACCTAATCCCAATTTCTGAGCCATCTCCCCAGCCCTCCTTCTTTCATTCTTATATTAAAATTGAACAAACAACAAAATGCTCTTCAGAGCAGATTGTTCCATCCTTAAAACACATTTGAGGCATTTGAGGTGAAGTACTTTAGGAAAAGGTATAAAATTCTCCCATTGACTATTATTGCTTGAATATTAACAGCTTACTTTTTTAAAAAAATGTATCTGAACAGTCAATTCAGATTTATTTCTCAAAATAAAAATGAATACATAATAAGACTCAGATTTTTCCTAGGCTCCTTCCTCTTTTAAAGCCGCTAGGTTTTTTTTTTTTCTATGCAGTCAAAGCTTTTGAGTTCCAGCTATTCCTTGCTTATTTGTTCAGTTTGGAAACAATTTATTTAAAGACTATCTAAATAGAACATACTTCCTTGAGTGGAAATAATTAAATACATCTGGATATTTATCTGATGTTTACTGACATTAATAGATACGGGGAGGCACTCGATTCAAGTTTAAGGACCATTTTTACCTGAGTTTGCAATTCAAGAAAAGGGTAGGACTGTATTAACATATTCTTTCCTCCAGAAATCTAAAAGATACTGGATGATGAAAAATAATGAATTTCTATGTTTTAAGACTCTCAAGGTTGAGGCTGTACAGATCGGCAGTCTTTCAGCTCTGAGTGGCTGGTCCTTGTTATCCTCAGATACTGATATATTCCTAGCCTTCCGCCACAAATGTAAGTTACTATTTAGAGAAATGGAAAATCATCTTCAGATGGGGAGGGATTCGTTCCTTACAGAGGAGGAAAACTGTCTCGTAAAAGCAAGGGGCTGGACTCGAGCACATTTTCAGCAGATGAAAGAGACAACTGTCACACAGCTACAAAAGGGGCTTCCTGCAGGACAGAAAGCTGGGCTTGCATCATCCAGACTGAGCTGCACCAGACAGCTTCCTGAACAAGCAGTCTGATCTGCGCATCCAGTCCTCAAATGCAACAGCATGTCGGTGGGCTAGTCCACCGTGCCTACCCTGGGGAAAATACAACGAAACGCAAGGAATGGCTATAATGATTAAACATATCCCAAACGGAGTGAGGGTGCTTAACTCGGTTGTAACACGCAGCCTTGGTCATTCCCTTTGTGCAGAGAGACAGCCTAGGACAGTGGGAAATGAACAGGCCTTCTAACGAGAGAATGTGGGATGAGGGTCACCCTACTATTTATAAGCTTTATGACATCAGCTGGGGAGCAAACTCTCTGAGCCTCCAATTTCCTTGTCTGGAAAATGAGACTGCACAGCGTGCCAAAGTGACTCTGGCCAAGTGGCTGTACCCACTGGCTACGAAGACAGACTGAGGCTAGTCTTACAGCTCCCCACTGTTTGGAGTAGGTCACTTAAACTCCTTGGCCCAATGGTTTATCTGTAAAATCAGGATAATGATCCTGATTGGGTTTTCATGAGCACAGCATGAACTATGCCAGATCCGATCATGTATCTGCCTCTCACAGGATCTATTAAGTAGATAAGGAAAGCGGTGCTAGCTGTAAAATGAACACAGTAATAACTGCAGGCATGTTTGGAAAACCAGGTGAAAATGAAGCATTTGATAACTCCTATGATCTATGCTAAAACTACCATTGGGCTTCCAGTGCATGTGGGCAGGCTCTACCACGTAACCTGGAATGTTCTTAGAACTGCTTGTTTCAAATGAAGGTGGAAATATCATCTCTGAGTTTGGCCCCAACCAATAAAACCTAATAATTCACAGTGAATGGCAAGTCAGCATCATTATTCAAAGAAATAAAAATCTGACTCCACATTATCTGGGCTTCCCTGGTGTGTGTGTGTGTGTGTGTGTGTGTGTGTGTGTGTGTGTGTGTGAACTTACAGGTGGCTTGAATAAATACCAGAATAATAAAATGTCATAACTAATCATTCTAATTTTCTCTTATGCTATGGAAGAGTTATTACATCAAGGAAGTTTTACATAAAATTTCTGCCTGCCAAATATTAACTTGATCGGTCTAATAAAGGACAACTTGGCTTTTGGTAGAGGCTTTCCACGAGGATGTTCTCACCAACACTGAGCAAAGACAGGGTACTTGGACTTTGTCTCCTGGAGGGTTGGCTGTACAGCCCAGCCAGTCTCTTTCAAGGTCCTCGTCCTAAGACTGTATGACAAGAGTGGGGGAGACAGGAGAGAGAGACCAAAGAAAAATAAAATATAAAAAGTGCCACAGTGTATGCACGAGATCAGGTGTGAGGGACAATAACCTTGACCTGAAAGCCAGTGGTCTGAAAACCCCAGGCCTTTCCAAGCACTAAGTGAATGACAACAGACCATGACTCCCACAGACACCATTTCTGGGCCACTGGCTGCACAAAGGACGACCTGTCTAAGCTTCCATTTCATCAGCAACATAGGGAGAAACAAGACCTCCTCCTCCTAAACTTATGAAGGCTAAGAGAGTGTAACAGTGCATAGCATGGTGCCAGGCTGCCTCGCTGCCCATTGACAAATGTCAGGAATTGACTGTCTTTAACTTGGACCCTGTCCTTCTTGGACTTGGTTTCACCTCAAAATAAACTCCCACATCTTCAAATAGCTTATCCTCTAACTTTTCAATCTTGTGGTGGGAGGAAAATGACTAAAATAACTTAGTTTCCTAAGAACGTATAAACCTAACTTAAATATATAGTTACAGTGTGTGTGTGTGTGTGTGTGTGTGTGTGTGTGTGTGTGTCACAGTTATTAATGCCCACAGTGGAGAGAAATCAAGGACCTGGCTGGATGGTGGTGGCACACGTGTTTAATCCCAGCACTTGGGAGACAGAGGCAGGCAGATCTCTGTGAGTTCAAGGCCAGCGTAGTCTACAGAGCTAGTTCCAGGACAGCTAGAGTTGCTACACAGAGAAACCTATTCTTGAAAAACAAAAACAAGAAAGGAAGGAAGGAAGGAAGGAAGGAAGGAAGGAAGGGGGGGGGAGGGAGGGAGGGGGGAGGAGGGAGGGAGGGGGGAGGGGGAGAGGGATGAAGGAAGGGAGAAGGAGGGAGGGAGGGGGAAGGAGGGAGGGAGGGAGGGAGGAGGAGGGAGGGGGAGGGAAGGGGGAGGGAAGGGAGGGAGGAGGAAGGGAGGAAGGGGGAGGGAGGGGGGATGGAGGGAGGAGGGAGGGAGGGAGGGGGAGGGAGGGGGGAGGGAGGGAGGGAGGGAGGAAGGAAGGAAGGAAGGAAGGAAGGTCAAAGACCTAGTGCATGGTTTCTGAACTTCATTTCCTGAAGAAACCTGAGCCTTCTCTAAACTCAGTGAGTCAGAGCAGGTATTGCTAAAATCACCACAAAGGGCCTAGCTCTACAACAGACCATCGAGTTAACCATGATC